TTCTACTATTAAGCTGCATCCTCAGTCCCATCTTGACAGTTTGGAAGAGTACTGGTCCACAATTTTTTGGTTTTGTTTTTGTTTGCTTTTTGAGACAGGATCTCGCTATGCACTTGAGGTGATCCTCCTGCCTCAGCCTCTTGAATGTTGGAATTAGGAACCACCACACCCAGGGGGCCTTCTCACTGAGTTACGTCCCCTCGGATCCCTGCCCCCACCCCTTTTCCAGAGGATGGAGAAAAGAAGTCTTGCTAAATTGCCCAGGCTGGTCCAACATGCATTTCTGTGGCCTCAGTCACCCAGAATGCTGGGATTAGGAACCCAGACGTCTGCCCCTGGCTAAATTGTTCCAGTTTTATATTGGCATCTAAATCCCTTGACATAGCTCCATCCCTAGGGGAGAGGTGTTTCTAGCACTGAAACCTACTTTGTCCTGTTCATCCTTTTGTGTCTTTGGAATTTCTTGCAGCCACTACCTGCTACTAATGTAACATTAAAAAAAAAACAAAAAAACAACTGACAAAGTTTCTTTCCCTCGCTGGTGAACTTTACCTCCCCAGAGACACCTGTTCATTTCTTTTTTGTTTCTCCTGGAGAATTACAAACGTTTACATAGAGTACACAAGGTTCTGTGTCCTGGGACTGTTCCTCCTCAGCACACAGAAGAGGTCTACCCCCTACACAACAAAGCCTTTTCACTGAGATACAGCCCCAGCACTTTCTTTTTTATTTTGAGGCAGGGTTTTGCTAAATTGCCCAGGTTAGGCTCAAGCTTGCAAACCTCCTACCTTGGCCTCTCAGAGTGCTAGGATTACTGACAGGCACCACCGCAGCCAGCTCTACCTTCTTCTTTATCATTTGCATAGTATTCCATTGTAAGACAATGCCAACATATACATATTTAAGACATCTCTGCCCATAGACATTTCCATTCTTTCTAGTCTTCTACTAAAACAACATGAGCAAATACCCACATATCTGTACTCTTGAGCAAATACATCTGCACCATGAATTCCTACACACAGATTTGCACAGCCAGAGGATATGCTTTCAGGATTCAGGTGCTGGGCTGGAACAGAGCTCAGTGGTAGAGCCCTGGCCTAGAATGTGGTGTGCGCTGTGAGCACGTGCTGCACACGTTCGCCAGGTCCACTCGCCAGGAAAAAGCTTTGAAGGAAAAAGCTTTTGGTTGCTGCCAAATACTCTAGTTGAAAATGTATAGGGCTGGGGATGTAGCTCAGTGGCACAGGGCCTGGCTGGCAAGCCTGAGGCCCTGAGTTTGATACCCTGTACCCCAAAAAAAGGAAAGAAAAAAGAAAATGGTATAGCGGGGCATGGTGCCACACACATGCTCAGGCAGGAGGATTGCCGAGTTCAAGGCCAGCCTGGGCTGCATAGCAAGACCCTGTCTCAAAAAAATAAATAAAACAGAAAGGAAGAAAGAAGGAAAGAGAGGAAAGCTTCTGTGATTTGTATGTCTTAACTTTCACTTTAAACTGCATGAAACAAACTAGAATGAAAAAACTGGTTCTGTTTTCATTTTCTGAGAACTGTCTCCGAAGGTGTCAGGTCTGCACATGCTCTGCCACCCTGGTCTTCAGAGTCTTGGGCCTGGGGATTTAGCTCAGTGATTCCGCCACCTGCCTCAAAAGCGCAAGGTCCCAAGTTTGATCCCCGGTACCAAAAAAAAACAAAACAAAACACAAAACCAGAGTCTTTACAGCCTGTGTTTTGGCCCCAGTAAAAGCTACTCCCTCAGGTAGTCCATCCACAAATATTTATCAGTCTCCTGCTGCACATCAGGCTCTGCCTCAGTAACACGGCAGTGAATAAACTGTGGCGGGCCTGGCTCAGAAGTAGAGTGCTCAGCATGTGCCCTGGGTTTGATCCCCACCTCTGCTTAAGGCACAAAGATGGGAGGCTGATGCAGGGGGATCACCTGAGGCCAGCCTGAGTTCAACTACTTAGGGAGACCCTGTCTCAAAAAACAAGGCAAGAAGGGCTGGGGATTTAGCTCAGTGGTTCCGGCCCCTGCCTTGCAAGCGCAAGGACCCGAGTTTGATCCCTGGTACCAAAAAAAAAAAAAAACAAGGCAAGAAAAAACAACTTTTTTTTCTATAGTTTTGAGGACTAAACCATGGTGTTATGCATGCCAGGCAAGCACTCTACCACCGACCTACATCCTCAGCTTTTGAAAAGAAATATTTTTTTGTTTTTTGATACAGGGTCTTGCTATGTAGTTCAGGTGGCCTTGAATTCACTGTGTAGCCCAGGCTAGCCTCAAACACGTGGCAAGATCGTTCCGCCTCAGCCTCCCTAGTGTTGGGATTACAGTGCACCACCATGCCCAGCTAAGGAATATTTTTTATATTGAGAAAAAGACAAAGATAATCTTTTCTGGGACATTAAAGTTTAGAAAGAGAAGACAAGCTGAGTGTGTAGCTCAGTGGTAGAGTGCTAGCCTAGCATGTGCAAGGCCCGGGTTTCATTCCCAGAGCCAATAAATAAATAATAAACAAACAAACCCAGAACTCTGGGAGGCTGAGGGAAGAGGATTTCAAGTTCCAGCCAAGATTGGGCAACTTGGGCTCTTAGTGAGACCCTGTCTCAAAATTAAAAAATATAAATGGGCTGTAGAGGTAGCTCAGTGTGAAGCCTGGGTTCAATCCCCAGTCCAGGGCTGGAGATTTAGCTCAGTGGTTCCACTGCCTGCCTCTCAAGTGCAAGGACCCGAGTTCTATCCCCAGTACCAAAAGCAAACAATCCCCAGTCCAAGTGATAATAGTAATAATAATGAAGAAAGAGAAGATGAAGGAGAGGAAAGAGGAGAGGAAGAAGCGGCAGCCACAGCAGCATTTAGCTCAATGGCATGTGCCTGCCTCGAAAACACAAGGCCTTGAGTGCAATCCCCGGTACTGAAAAAAAAAAAGAAAAGACTACTGCCCAAAAACCTTTGTGTCATAGCAGGAAGACTAGAATTAAACAAAATATATCCGCAGAGATCTACTGAATAAACTAGTACAATCATCAGTGGGGTAAACATCACTGGGCTGGCCCAGGGGTAGTGGGGCACTCCTGTAATCTTCGCATTTGGGAGGCTGAGGCAGAAGGATTGCAGTGAGTCTGAGGGCAGCCTGGACTACACATTGAGTTCAAGATCTGCCTAAACCACACAGCCAGACCCTGTCTCAAAGCAACAAAGTGTGTAGGACTAGCCTAGCACGTGAGAGGTGCTGGAATCAATCCCCAGCACGGCCTCCCTTAAATCCCCAGAAGTTAAAGGAAGAACCCAAAACTTTGTATATAGTATAATTTGCTACCAATCGTACTAGAAAGCTACACTTGGGGCGCTGAGACAGAAGGATTTTTTTGAGCCCATGAATTTGAGAACAGCTTGCTTGGGCAGCATAGTGAAACCCTGTCTCAAAAATAAAAACAAGGGCTGGGGATTTAGCTCAGTGGTTCTGGTGCTGGCCTCAAAAGCTCAGGGTCCTGAGTTTGATCCCCAGTACCGAAAAAAAAATAAAAATAAAAAAAATTTTAAAAAACCAAATATGTAAATATGCTCAGTGTTGGTATGGCTCAGCAGTGCAGCACCAGCACACACTTGGGATGTGCAAGGCCCTGGGTTCAACCCCAACGCACGGGAACACACGCACACCCCCCCGAAAAGAGAACCAAGGAAAAAGAAAAGAAAGCAATTCCATGAGAGGGCCAGGGATTTAGCTCAGTGATGATGCCGCCGCCTGCCTTGAAAGCAAAAGGTCCCGAGTTCGATCCCGGATACCGAGAACAAAGAGAGAATCTATTTTATGCGCGAGCATCTGAGGCACAAAGGTGAAAAGCACTCCCCTAAATTTGGTGAAAAGATTCACGATGGGCAGAGTGGGGGCCTGGGCTGCTGGCTCTGGTGTAAAGCTGGTCACGTCGCCGTCAAAGGGACCAGGCCACAGACTTCGCCGACAGACAGACGTGCAGACGAAAAAGGCCTCCCTGGGCGGCGATCAGAAGCGCACTGCCCCACCGACGCCCGAGACCCCGAGAACTTCGGAAAGGGAGAAACCGGTGAATGGGGGTGAGCGCCGCACTCGCACCCAGCTCCACGTTGTCAGCTGACATCCAGGACCTGGGCCGCAGCCCCGGGTTGGGTGCGGAGTTCCATCCCCGACGCAAACCAAACCAAACTGCCAGACCCTGTCAGATCCCGCGCGGCCGCCGGGCCGGGCAGAGGAGGTCTTCAAAAGATGCTCGTGGCCATGCGCAGGGCCTCACAGCGAACACAGTCATTATGTATTGCAAACATGTACTAATAACACTTTCAAACTAAAAAAATGAAATGTTAAAAGAAAATGTTAGGCGCTCTAGGGTGCGGGTTAGCGCAGGGGTAACAGGGACGGACGACGTCACCTGACACGATCAGTGTATCTCACCCCATCCTCCCCGCCGCACCCTAATCCGTGACGAGTGACTCAAAGTCCTTTAGACTCAGAGGCCTAAAGCTGGGGATCACAGTGGCACCGTGGGTTTCCAGGGGAAGATTGGAGGGACGGGGGAAGCAGAACTCTCCAGCCGTCTCAGGCGCGGGGCAGGCGCTGCCGAGAACCATGGCGACGCTTCAGGCACAAACAGGATTTCCGTGTGTGAAGACATTCACTACGAAGGTCGCCACTAAAACCTTAGTTTTAGGGCTAGAGAATGGGAAGGACTCAACAGTCCAAAATAGGAGACTGATTAAATAAAATTTTCAAGGGAAATGCAAATCAAAACTACAACCAAGAGAAGTCACACACATCTGTAATCCGAGCACTCAGGAGGCTGAGGCAGGAGGATCTCTGAGTGAGTTTGAGGCCAGCCTGGGCTGCATAGTGAGTTCAAGGTGAGCTACATAGTGGGACCTTGTCTCGGGGGGACGGGGGGGGGCGGGGGCGGGCAACGACATAGCTCTGTGCAAAGGCTCTAGGCTCAATTCTCAGTACTGAAAAATAAATAAATGGATAAAATTTTAAGTCACAAATTGGAAGAGACATTACTATTACATATAATTAAAAAATATATATCAAGGGCCAGCGATTTAGCTCAGTGGTTCCACCCCCTGACTGGCAAGCACAAGGTCCTGAGTTTGATGCCCAGTAACAAAAAAAAAGTCTAAAGGCCTCCAAAGATCAATGAAGGTCAATGAATCAAGGAAACAAGCAGGAGGGAAGGGCTGGGGATGAGTCTTTGTGGCAGAGTGCTGGCCTAGTGGGTGTAAATCCCGATTCAATCCCCAGAGCTTGTTGATTGGTGGTATTCATGACAGAGGAACAATCTTCATATTTTTGTCTGTTTGGCTGTGACAGGATTTCCCTATGTAGTCCAGGCTGGCCTTGATCTCCTGGTGATCCTCCTGCCTCAGCCTCCTGAGTGGTAGGATTACAGGTGTGCCACCACGCCCGGCACAATCTTCATATTCTAGTGGCTGCGTTAGAGATGGGTACATGTTCTTTGGGAAGCAATATTTAGTGTCTATGGAAATCTTAAAAAGTACCTACTCTTTGGGCTGGGGATTTAGCTCAGTGGTTCTGGCGCCTGCCTTGCAAGCACAAGGTCCCAAGTTCGATCCCTGGTACCAAAAAAAGAGAAAAAAAAATATTTTAATAGTCCATAAATTAAAAGAAGCAATATGAAGTAACTGAAAAAATATTTTTAAATATAGAAGAATATAAAGGAAAAACCTTTTTTATTTTTTTCATCTTTTGTTTGCTTTGGTTTTTGAGACAGAGTCTCACTATGCATTCAGGCTGGCCCCAAACTCACAGCGATCCTCCTGCCTCAGTCTCCTGAGTGCTGGGATTACAGGTATGCACCACCACACCTGGCTCATTTTTTTCATCTTTAATAAGACAGTCACATTTACCAATTTGGGGCTGTGGTGGCGAACTTATGGCACATGTCCCACAGTGGGATGTTTGTTATGACTGAAAGCTCTAAAAGGTTCACCATCACTGGTTTAGGGTATATTTTTTCCACACTTTTTGATCTTTTGTTTAGATTTTTTTTTAAATTTTTTAAATTTTAATTTTAATTTTTTTTTGGTACTGGGGATTGAACTTGGGTCCTTGTGCTTGTGCAGCAGGTGGCAAAATCACTGAGATAAATCCCCGGCCCTTAGATTTATTTTATTTTATTTTTTGGTACTGGGGATCAAACTTGGGACCTTGCACTTGGGAGGCAGGCGCCTGAACCACTGAGCTAAATCCCCGGCCCTAGATTTTTTTTAATACAAAATGGAATTGTATTATAATTTTTGTGGGTGTGCTGGAAATTAAACCCAGAGTCTTTGCACTGTGCTACATCCACAGCCCTTTTTTTTTTTTTTTGGTACTGGGGATTGAACTCAGGACCTTGTGCTTGCAAGGCAGGCACAGTGCCACTGAGCCTAATCCCCAGGCCCCTTTCTTATTTTTTATTTGGAGACCCTGCTAAGTAAGTCACTAAGTTGCCCAGGCTGGAGTCCAACTTGCAATCCTCCTGCCTCAGTCTTCCACAGTGCTGGCATTACAGGTGCGCACCACTACATCTGGCCATCATACATGATGTCAGTGCTAACTACATACCTATGGGATCATTTGTTTCTAAAACTGGAAATAGGGCCTGAGATTTAGCTCAGTGGTTCTACCACCTGCCTCACAAGCAGAAGGTCCTGAGTTTGATCCCCGGTACCAAAAAAATCCCCTGGAAATAATTGTACTTTTTTTGATTGTACAAATGTGATTCATGAAAAATTTTGTTTTGCTTTTTTTGAGACAAGGTCTTGCTATGTAGTCCAGGCTGGCCTTGAACTCACTATGTAGTCTAGCCTGGCCCTGAACTTGTGGCAATCCTCCTCCCTCAGCCTCCTGAATGCTGGGATTACAACTGTGAGCCACACATCCAGCCCATCTCCAGACCTTTTAAAATTTTTTTTAGCAAGTACTCACTAAGTTGCCTATGCCAACCTCAAATTTGTGATTCTCATGCTTTAGCCTCTCAAACCACTGGCATTGCATGACTGTGCCATCACACCCAGTTAGACCTGGGTATGTTAGGCACAGTAGTTAGGAGCACAAATCTGTCTTCCTAGGTTCAAGTTCCTGCTCTGTTTCTTTCCCGCTGTGTAACTTGGGACACTTTACTTAGCCACCCTTCTTACCCTGCAAAAGTAGGGTGATAATGTATTTACTAGGGTTTTTGTGAGAACTGAATTCATTTGTGTAAAAACACAGGTTAGTGCTTAGTATTTGTTGTTGTTATTGTTATTATTATTAGATTTAGTACTGGGAAATGAACCCAGGGCAGGCCTTTGAACTGAGCTACATCTCCAAGTCTTTATGTTCTTTGTTTTGAAAAGTGCTACGTTGTATAGCATGGATTTGAGTTGAAATCCTCTGGCCTCAGTCTCCCAGGGTGCTGGGATTACCAGCGTGTGCCTCCACATCCTGCTGAATTAGCTTTTTGGGTGAACTTAGCACGGGGTTACTGCTGTCATGCACACACGCACCCTCAACCAGGACCCAGCAGCTGGTATTTCCCACGTGCCCGGCACTGCCCAGATGATCAGTGCAGACACCTCCACTAACACAAACCAGACAGGTGTGAACTGGGGAGACCTTTCCCCGGGTTACCGTGCTGAGGAGCAGAAGACACAGCTTGTCTCAATCCGTTGTACCTGCAGGCTGAGAAGGCTCCAGGAACTCACACCCACCCTGAGGAGGTGCGAGGTCTAAGTGGGGGATGGAGGAAGGGATGTGAGGGGGCTCAGGTGGAGAAAGCTGTGGAGGAACAGGTCACAGAATAGTCCAGTGGTTTACCATGTGGGGAACTGGGGGTCTTGGGGTTTCCTGTGATTCCAGAAAGGACCTAAGAGTGACACCCACACTTGAAGTTAGAAAAAATTTCTTTCCCTGGTTGCCGTATGGAGAACTTCAATGACACCTCCAAACTCCTCTCCCCAGCTCTGACGCCAGGAGCCTCCCTCTGCCCCAGTGTTGGATGTTAGACTCTCCAGCTTCTGCTGTTTCTCACGTTGGAATGGAAACCCACAGGAACTAGGACTTTGGTGGGTGGGAGGTACTGGCCACAGGGCGATTAGTGGGAGGCCAGGGGACACTGCCGTGAACCCAGAAAGGTTACCTGCCAGAGGACTGGAAGCAGGTGTCTGAGCCCCGCGTGGTGGCCACTGCCTGTGACCTCAGCATCCTTGAGGAAGGAGGCTCAGGACTTCAAGGTCAGCCTGGCCTACACAGTGAGACCCTATCAAGCAAGCAAACAAGGAGGGAGGAAAGGAAGGAAGGAAGGAGATGGAAGAAGAAAAAGGACAGGAAGAAAGAAAGAGGAAAAGTAAGGGAGCAGAAGTTTTATTTGCACGTCACTTTACCTAAGAGGGACTGAGAAAATGTCCATTGTGCATACCAAAGAAGAGGGCAGGGAGGCTGTGAGACAGAACAGTAGAGGGGAGGGAGCTAAAAAGCCCGACTGACCAGCTGGTTCTTGGGACTGTCACTGATTACAAATCATCAAGGGCTTAGGGTGGATGTTGATGGAGCTGGAAAGAAATGGATAGAAGGGAGAAATATTTAAGATGTGAAGCTCTGGGTCCCCTAGATCTCTTCAGTGCCACACACCCACACATGCACGCGCGTGCACACACACACACACACACTTGCCTGGATGGGGACCACAGACACCCATTTCTGGCTATGGTGATGCCATCTCCTCAGAAGTGGGTCAGAGGAACAGATGTTATGTTTCAGATCCCGAGTTTTCATCTGGACCTGCGAATTCAAGGTTCCTGGGGGGGGGGGTTCCTGCAGGCAAAATATGGGACTTAGAGGGGAACCCATGTTCTGAGCCGGGGACAGTCCTTGGGAGTCATTGGCTTGAAAGATGATAATCAGAATGCATGGGGATAATAAGTTACTGGAGGCTGCGAGGTCTTTTTAGGCCCTTCCGGGATCTTTCTAGGCAAATACGAGAAATGCTCATATGCAGATGGTTTTGGGTACAGCCTGACTTGCTCACCTCACCCAGAACCCGAACATCGCTTTGTCCTACAGAACACGTCGGATATGAGAGGACAGTTGAAAGAATCCTTAGTCACCCCAACAAATGACAGAAGTGTCTGGGGCGAGTCCCCTGTAAGGCTGAGAAGGAGCGAGCAGGAAGGGAGGAGGAACCTGGGAACCACTGGCCTCACAGAGGTGACTGAAGGGCTGTGGAGAGGGGCATCTTCACAGGCAGCCAACCCTCTAGGGTCAGCCAAGTTGTGCTAATTCTTCCTCTGTAGTTTCTCTCTCCATCTCCACTGCCACCTTCTGGCTGTGGCCCCCACTGCACCTGGGTGCTGCTCCTCCCCTTCCCGGTCTCCAGCGTTTCAGCCGTCCTTGCAGCCATCCCAAGTTTCCTGTTAGACCACTCTTCTTCAGAATCACGCCCCCTCTCCTCAGCAGCTTGGTGTCTCCCCATCGCTTCTGAAAGAACAGCCCACATGCAGCCTGTGCAGACTGGGGCGTGGTAGCACAAGCTTGTGATCCCAGCACTCTGAGGCTGAGGCAGGAAAGGTGCAAATTTTAGAGCAGCCTGGGCTACACAGTGAGTTCAAGGCTGGCGTGGACTACATAGCCAGGTAAAAAAGCAAAGCGGGCCGGGGATTTAGCTCAGTGGTTTTGCTGCCTGCTGCTCAAGCGCAAGGACCCGAGTTCGATTCCCGGTACCAAAAATTAAAAAAAGAAAAAAGAAAAGAAAATACTGGATCTATTTGCCACTCCACCCAACATTGTTGAGGCTGTGCCATCTGCCTGGAATACCTACCTTTATGCCTAATTTTTTTTTTTTTTTTTTGGTACTGGGGATCAAACTCGGAGCCTTGTGCTTGCCAGGCCAGCGCTGGAACCACTAAGCTAAATCCCAGGCCCCATGCCTAATTTTTTAAAAACATTTTTTTTTTTCTGCTACCAGGGATCGAACTCAGGACCTTACACTTTCAAGGTAGTCATGGTGCCACTGACCTACATTTCCAGCCCCTCGTGCCTAATTTTTTTAAAGATAGGGTCTCACTATGAAGCCCATATGGGCCTTGAATTCTTTTTTGTTGCTTTTTTTGTATTTTGAGACCATCTTGCTATTTAGTTTAACTGGCTGGCCCTGAACTATGTAGTTCAGGCTGGACTCGAACTCCTGCGATCCTCCTGCCTCAGCCTCCTGAGTGTGTTGGGATTACCGTCACACTGGGCTTGTTTTTTGAGACAAGGTCTCACTATGTAGTTCAGATTGGTCTTGAACTCACTATTTAGCCCAGGTTGACCTGGAACTTGCAGCCATCCTTCTGTCTCAGCCTCCTGACTGCTAAGATTATTGGCACGAGCCACTATGCCAGGTTATTTTTTTTGCACTACTGGGGATCAAACTCAGGGCCTCATGGCCGGGATGTAGCTCAGTGGCACCATGCCTGCCTTGCAAGCAAGGACCCAAGTTTGATCCCCAGTACCAAAAAAAAAAAAACTCAGACAGATGAGACAAATGTGTGAGTTTGCCCAGTGCAAGAGGACTGGGAATGGTGGGAGCTGACCTTGACTTGGACACCTCATTCTCCTTCTGGAAGCAGCAATGACACCTAGAACATTAAAACACTATGTAGGACCAGGGATGTAGCTCAGTGGCACCGCACCTGCCTGGCAAGTGCAAAGCCCTGAGTTCAATCCCTGATGCTGGGGGGCAGGGGGAGACACTGACCCAACAAACCACAACACTATGTAAATGTGGTTGGTGTGATAGCGGCTTGGTTAAGTCTCTACTCCCAGTTACTAGGGAGCCTGAGGCAAGAGGATCACAAGTTTCTGGCCAGCCTGGGAAACTTGGTCACCTTGTCTCAAAAATTAAAAAATAAATAAATAAAAATAAAGGCTGGGGATGTGGTTCAGTGATAAAGCACTCCTGGATTCAATCCCTAATACTGGGCTGGGGGTACAGCTCAGCAGTATGGCACCTGCCTGCCGAGCGCATGGTTTTGAGTTTGATCCCCAGTACCAAAAAAAATAACAACAAAAAAATAAAAAATAATCCCTAGTACCGCTAAAACAAAAACACTGTAAAGCACACGAAGGTTAAACTTGACCTTAAGATCATTAAGTTTGAGACAATAAAAGATATGCCTCGCAAGTGCAAGGTCCCAAGTTCGATCCCCGGTACCAAAACAAAGAAAAAGAAAAAGATATGTCCCAAATATATTCTGCACTTGGGTGGTTCTTTAGAGCTTTTGAAGCAACTTTACATCAGCAACTCTGTCCCCACTTTACAGATGAAGAGACTGAAGCTCAAAGAGGTGAAGTGAACTGCTCAGGATTGCATAGCAAGAGATTAGTAGCATAAGGTTAAGGTTAGGTCCCACCCAGTCAGACTCTGGCCTGGCCTCCACCCTTCTGAGGGTGATGGGGAAGGGTGTAAAGAATATGAGCATCACTCACTTTTCTTCTTCTTCTTTTTTTTGAGACAGGGTCTCGGTATGTAGTCCAGGCTGGCCTTGAACTCACAGCCATCTTCCTGCCCCAGCTTCCTGAGTGCTGGTAGTGTCCCGAAGCCTGGCTTCATTTTTCATTCAACGAAGACTTCATTTGTAAAATGAACCAACAATCCCTTCTTCCCACAACTGAGCTGTTGTTCTAAGGGGAGCTGAATGAAAACTCTTTCAGGGTCTCACAACCCTGTGTCCTAGGCAGAGCACCTCCTCCTGGCTTGGTTATGAGCGTTTGTTTGTAAGATGGAGAACTGTTTGGAGCATTGTTAAGATTCAAAGGTAATAAAGACACAAAATAGCCTCAGTAGAAAGTAGCGGTCATTGTTCTACTCTGGGGTGGGGTTCCCGATTCTGCAAGGGGCTCTTAACCTAGAAAGTTTGCGAACAGACGGCATAAACTGCTGGGTGCCGCCGGGAAACTGTCCTCACATAAAACGGGGCTGGCCGGGAAGGCGCGGCGCCATGGAAATTAGAAGACCCCGGTTCCATGGCTAACTGGCTTCCCCTAAGTGGGGGATCTGTTAAAAAAGCGGGGTGGGAAGACGGTGGTCCGAGTCTCAGGCAAGGCTCACCCCAAGCGAGCCTCAGACCCAGGGTTAAAAGGGCTCAGGAGCGCGGGCCGCACGCAGGGCGAACTACGCCTCCCAGTGTGCTCCGCGCGCGCGCCAGCGTCTTACACCGACACGTGACCCCTCACTGTCTCTCGCGAGAGGACGGGCCGCGACGGCGGTAGTGTTAGCCAGCCCTGGTGGTTGTGGTGGTGGTGGTGGTGGTGGTGGTGGCGGCCGAGGCGCCGGCGGCCATTTTGGGGAGGCCTCGGCAGCGGTGGCGGCGGCGGCAGCAGCTTGCTGAGAATAGCGTCTGCCTTCTTCCCAACTCACTGCCCGCGACTCTGTGCCGAGGAGGCAGTGCAGGAAAGGCGGTGGCAGTAGCCGCGGTCCCCAGGGGAATTTAAAGGCCGTGAAGGCTGCGGCCAAGAGGGGGCCCTCCCCCCTCCTCGGCGGGAGGGGTGGTGGTGCGCACGCCCCCGAGGACGCAGGTAAGGAGAGGGAGATAAGATGGCGGACGTTTCACAGTCCCCCGCCCCGACAGGGGGCTGCGCGCGCATCTTTCCTCCGCCGCCTCCCTCCCACCTTCCCGGGGTGCTGCGCGCGCACCTCCAGCCGGGGCCCCGGGGCCGGTGCGCGAGGCTGTCGGCGCGCGCCCATAGAGACAGACGGGGCCGAAGCCGGCCGGCGCCGAGCCCAGCGCGGCACTGCTCCCTCCCGCCCTTCTGCGCACGCGTGCCCGAGCCAGCGAGCCCTGAGAGAACGGACCCAGGTGGGCTCCTGCCCGCCCACTGCACCAGTCACTCCGGGCGCGCGGGAAGGGGGGCGTGGGACGGGTCGTGGCGCGCGCCCACCGCATCTAGTCGGGCCCGGACCTGCCACAGGAGCCCACCCTCTCCGAGCTTCTCGTGGCCTGGTGATGGCGGGCCCTGGGCGGGCATGGGCCGGGGCCTTCGCGGTCCCGCACCCCTCGTGTGCGTGGGCTCGGGCTCTGGCGGGAGCCCCCGGGCCGTGCGCGCTGCCGGCTCCCTCCGCCCTGGCCGCGCACGCGCGGCCCCTCCCCCACCGGCGCGCACGTTGGGTGGGGCGGGAGCCCGGGGGCGGGGCTTGTGGGCCGGTGGCGACTGGGGCGGAGGTCAGGGGTCACGCTGGGTCAGTCCGCGGGGAGGGCTCGGCCGGGCCGGGGAAGTAAAGCCCGAGGTCAAGAGTTCAGGCTTCTTAGGTCGGCTAGCCCAGGTCCTGGGGATTCTGTGGAGGAAGAATCAAAGGAGAAAGAATCAGAAAATTTTGTGGAAGAATCGAAGGCTGCTTGGCGGTTAAGGAATTTCCTTAAACACTGCGGAAACACTTCCGGGCTCCCTCTCCGTTAACCCTGCCCGTTTCCGGCGCGTGGTTCTTCCCTGTATGGCCATCCTCCCATCTGACTGCTCCTTAGTCTCTTGCTGCATGTCTCAGGTTTAGGGAAGTGTCTGGTGGCACAGGTACAGGCTTTACCCGCTCCTGCCCTGAATCTTGGGTATAGTTTCCTGTGATCGGGATGTTTGTTTACTTTTCTTGGGGTTTCTGTTCTTATTCCGGTTGATTCCACACTTCAAAGGGAAGCAGCCAACTGGACAGGCAGCATGTGTGTGAATTTCTAGTTGTGACAGCTATTTCTGCTTTGTTGTTTGCCTTTCATTGTGTGGAGGCTTTATGTTTAAGCTTTTTCAACTTTTGTGTTCGTTTTCTTTCCTGTTCCAACCGGGCCAGAATTTTATGTTCTTGTGGAATTCTGTCACAAAACATGATTTGCTTTTTTTTTGAGAGTCTAGTTATGTAGTTCAGGCTGTCCTTGAACTCACTATGTAGCCCAGGTTGCCCTCGAATTCATGGCAATCCTCCTGCCTCAGCCTCCCAAGTGCTGGCCATGAGGTGATTTGCTTTTATTTTTTCTGAAATACGAGTTTTTCCTACTATTGTGGGAACTGATTTGGGTATAGTTTAAAGTCTCAAAAAGCTGGAGTAAGGTAGGTGTAGTGGTGCATGTCTGTAATACTAGCAATGGGGAGGCTGAGACAGGAAGAATGCCAGTTCAAGCCCTGGGCTCCATGGTGAGTTCAAGCCAGCTTGAACTATGTAATGAGATCTTGACTCCAAAAACCAACCAACCAACCAAAAAAGCTGGAGTAAATAATGGATTCTGATGGATGTTGGTAAATATGGGTTGATTTCTCACTGCTGGTTTCCTCCCCTTCTATTTTAGGTGTGATTCCCCTCATTACGGCGGCACCGTGGAAGTGCAGACTTTCACAGGGGGTGTGGTCTCAGCTCACACAGGTGAGGGTACAGATGCCGTTTTGTGTACTGATGCTAGTGGGCAAAAATATAAGAATGAGACTAATTATAGGTCAATACTTGTGGAGTTTTGCCTTGAAGAGCTACAGTGATACCTTGGTTGTTGAACTCAGTTTGTTCTAAATTCGTGTTTGAACTCTGAAAAGTTCAAGAGCTGAACATACTTTTCCCATATGAATTAATGAGAAACCAAATGATTGGTTCTGAGGCCCAAAAATTACACTTATAAATTCATTTTTCCAGGACCTTAACAGATTTTGCAGTGGTTTATTTCTTTTTTTTTTTTTTTTGGTACTGGGGATTGAACTTGGGTCCTTGCGCTTGCGTAGGCAGCAAAACCACTGAGCTAAATCACCGGCCCAGTGATTTATTTCTTTAACTCTGTAGTGGTTCTCACAGTTTTCCTTAGCTTTTCTAGGGGTATCACTAACTTTCTTTGGAGCCATGGTTACAGTATTTTACACAAAGCACAAAAAAAAGCACAGTGACAAATGTTTTAATGAACAGAAGTTCTGTATGTCCTGTAGGTGAGAGTGAAGTGTCATCCCTTTGTGTATGCAGCAAGACATGGTGTGTGACTGACCCAGTCTCAGCCTGTATAGGATTTTTTTTTTTGTACCAGGGATTGAACTCAGGACCTTGCGCTTGCGCAGCAGGCACCGGCACCACTGAGCTAAATCCCCGGCCCCTGTATGGGTTTAAGTCAGATTTTTGGTTTGACTATCAAGCAAAGTTAGGATCACTGGACAGATTTTTTTTGAACTTTGCTGTTTTAAGTAGTGAAGAGTTCCATCTTGGAGCTGTTCAACAGCTCAGCTGTTCTACAACCTTATAGGAATATCTGTATGTGATTTTCTCTTGGAGGGTTTGATGCTGTGGATGGAGGAAGATAGGGTCACCTTCGTTTGACCAGGAAGAGTAACAGGTTCTCTATGGCCGGACATGGTGATATATATCTGTAATCCCAGCACTCGGGAGGCTGAGGTGGGAAGATTACTGCAAGTTCGAGTCCAGCCTGGGTTACATAGCAAGACTGTCTTTAAAAAAAACCAAACAAAAAATCAAGTTTTCTATGGTTTTGGTGTGATACAACTTGGCTCTAAGTTCTGCTACTTCCTTTTTGTGTGACCTTATTCAAATCTTTTAGTCTCTCTGCCCTCATTTCCTAACTTAAGAAGTAGACATACCAAAGAAAAGAAGTAGACATAGCTGGATGTTGTGGCACACGATTGTAATCCCTTCACATAAAATTGTTTGGTTTTTTTGGTTTGTTTTTTTGGTACTGGGGGTTGAACTCGGGACCTTGCACTTGCAAGGCAGGCAGCAGAACCACTGAGCTAAATCCCCAGCCCCCTTCGCATACAATTGTATTCAATTGTAATTCCCTTTGGGAGGCTGAGACAGGAGAAAAAGAGGTAGTATTGGAATATAATCTATTTAGATCAGATGTGTTTTCTGTGGGGCCCCCCAACCTAGGGCTTAGTTCATGCTAAGTAAGTGTGCTACGGTTGAACTACAGGTTTAGCCTTTTAATATTTGGTTGACTGATTGATTGCCTGTACTGGGGATTGAACCTAGGGCATTCACACTGAAGTTACATTCCCAGCCCTTCTAAAATTTTTTATTTTGAGACAGGGTTACTACGTTACTAAGTTTCCCAGGCTGGCTCAGACTTGAGATCCTTCTGCCTCAGTGTCCCATAGTGCTGAGTTTGCAGGCATACACCGCAGTGCCCAGCTTTGGTTTTGTTAAAGCCTTCCTATGTAGTACTGGCTGCCCTTGAACTCATGTAGCCTAGGCTGGGCTTGAACTTATGATAATTTTTTCTCAGTCTCTTGAATGCTGGGGATTACAGGTGTGCACCACTATGCCTGCTGTGGGTAAGTAAAGTTTTTTTCCCCCCTGGTACTGGGGATTGAACTTGTGCTTGCCAGGCAGGCACAGTGCCACTGAGCTACATCCCTGGCCCAACTTTTGGTGTATTTTTTTTTTTTGGTACTGGGGATCGAACTCGAGTCCTTGCACTTGTGCAGCAGGCAGCGGAACCACTGAGCTAAATCCCAGCCCTGGTTTTTTTAGTTACTGGTGCATTGAACCTAGAGCTGCTCTACCATTGAGCTGTATCCTCAGCTCTTTTTTATTTTTATTGCTTGTGGCTTTTTTTAGGCAAGGTTTCCTTATGTAGTTCAGGAGGACCTTGAACGCATGGCAGTTTCTCCTGGTTTAACCTCCCAGGAGCTGTGTATGCCACTATGCCTGACTTATTTTTATTTTTCTTATTTTGAGACAGAGTCTGGCCGAGTTGCCCAAGTGGGACTTGATTTTGTCACCCTCTTGCCTTGCCTTCCCCGAGTGCCAGCACTGTAGGTGTGTACCACGGTGCCTGGCTACTATGTGAACATTTTTATGGTGTGAAATGTATCTGGTTCATAAGCAGAGATGGGAATTTTAGAAACATCAAACAATATTTACTTGACATGTTTATTTGATTTAATTTTTTTTTTTAAGAATTCTTTAGCCAGGTATGGTGGTGCACATCTGTAGTCCCAGCACTTGGGAGGCTGAGTCAGGAGGATTGCTGGGAGTTTGAGCCCAGCCTGGATTAAACAGGGAGACTGTATCTCACCCCTCCCCCCCCCAAAAAAGCTTCAACTTCATTTTTGTCTTTTCTATTTTACTTTAGGTGCTCCAGAGGCTGGTGGACCTGAGCGGAGGCTGGGACGCCCTGGTGGGCCCCGGGCCCTGGAAGACGGGTCCCGGTGGCCGGTGGCCCAGAATGAGGCCAGCTCCCAGCATGCCCTGCAGCCGGACGCCAGCCCCTTGGCCTGCAGCAGTGGTAATAAGGACACAGTCATTCTTCAGGCATCCACTGAGGAGCCTGGGAGTGGGACCATGCAGAGCAGCCCCTCCCCTGTTCATCCTCAGCTCTCAATTCTACAGACACAGGTTTGAAAGTGGGGAAGATTCCTTCTCTGCTTCTGTTTTGTGAATACAGGGTTTGAGGCAGAAGAAATGTGCCACGTGCTAGCTACCTGAGTAGCTGAGTCTGGAGCATCTTTGGTGCTCAGCTGCACTTGACTCTAGTGTAAAACCTGTTGGATACTCAAGTTCGATTTGACTTTAGTATTTATTGATCTCCAAGAGTACAGAAGCTCCTTCTTTCTTGAAAAAGGTCGAAGTGTTTGTGCAATATGGTTTTAAGATTATATAGGCTTTGAGACTAGTTTAACTTGTTTTGGAACTGGCAGAGGGTAAGCCAAGTAAGCATGGAGGGTAGGAGAAAAGCCTGGCTTTTGCAACTGGATAGATTTAGCTTTGGATACAGCAGGCTTTTGAAGTTTATGGGTTTGATTCTTTTGTTTGTATGTTTTTTGTTTTTTGGTACCGGGGATTGAACTCAGGACCTTGCTCTTTCGAGGCAGGTGACAGAACCACTGAGCTAAATCCCTCGCCCTGTTTTTGTTTTTTGTTTAGGCAGAGTCTCACTATATATTTCAGGCTGGCTTTGTTTTCTTTCCTTTTTTTTTCTTTTGGTACTGGGGATCGAACTCAGGACCTTGTGCTTTTGAAGCAGGTGCCGGAACCACTGAGCTAAATCCCCGGCCCATCAGGCTGGCTTTGAATTCACAGTGTTCCTCCTGCTTCTGCCTCCCAAGTGCTAGGATTACAGGCATGTGCCACCACACCCGGCTTGTTTTATGTTTTTTAAGACAGGGTCTGACTATATAGTTCAGGCTGGCCTTGAACTCACTATGTAAAGTGATGTGTGCATATTTGGGAGCCATGTTCATCTCCAACCCCACATCCCTAGTGAATATATTGAGGGGCTTTTTTTTTGGTACCAGGGATCAAACTCGAGTCCTTGCGCTTGCACAGCAGGCAGCAAAACCACTGAGTGAAATCCCTGGCCCTTTTTTTTTTTTGTACCGGGGATTGAACTCGGGTTCTTCCACTTGGGAGGCAGGAGGCAGAACCACTGAGCTAAATCCCTGGCCCTATTGAGGAGCTTTTTTCTGGTGTCTGATGAATTTGATGGCAGCTCAGATATATTGCATAGGTCAATTTCCCATATTTGCTGGGAAGTTGAGAGACAAAGAATTGCTTATTGAGTGAAGTCATTGAGGCCCTGGAAGGATCACTAAATTTGAAATGTAGTATAGTAATGTTCTTGAATTTAGAAAGTGCGTAAATGTTAGTATGTAACTTTTGCAAGTCAAGCATCTGCTATAAGTATGATTCTGCTATCATAAGCACCTTGTTAGAACTTCTTTCTAGGTGTTTGTAAAACCGAGATTTACATTTTATTTCAGACTTTTTCCTTTTGAAAACAGAACAAAATAATACACTTAAAATATGCAGTGAAAATCTAGCATTCACTTTCTTCATTTTTCTCTTTTTTAGATGGTGTCGGACGGCATGACAGGCAGCAATCCTGTGTCCCCTGCCTCATCTAGTTCCCCAGCCTCTAGTGGGGCAGGTGGTATCTCTCCTCAGCACATAGCTCAAGATTCTTCTCTGGATGGACCTCCAGGCCCCCCAGATAGTGTCACAGTACCTCTGGAGGGACTTAGCTTAACCCAGGCTGCTGACCTGGCTAACAGGGGCCCAAAGTGGGAGAAGAGCCATGCTGAAATTGCAGAGCAGGCCAAGCATGTATGTATTATGTATTGGAAAGGCCCATGACCATTCTTATTCATTTATCGAGACAGGGTCTTCCTATGTAGTTTGGACTGCCCTTGAACTCATTATGTAGCGCAGGCTGGCCTTAAACCTGCGGCAGTCCTCCTTCCTCAGCCTCCTGAGTACTGGAATTATAGGCCCATAAGGATTTTTTTTTTTTTTTTTTGGTACTGGGGATCGAACTCGGGTCCTTCTGCTTTCGAGGCAGGTGGCGGAACCACTGAGCTAAATCCCCGGCACCCATGAGGATTTTTGAGAGTCTTCTCTTAACTGTCATACTCCATGGGTATTTTACATGTCTTTGTTTCTTATTGTGAGTTTAGGATTTAGGGTATGAACTGTCATTTTTTGTTTTGTTTTTGTTTTTGACACAGGGTCTTACTGTGTTATTCAGGGTGACTTTGAACTCATTGTGTAGACCAGGCTGGCCATGAACTCTTTTTTTTTTTTTTTTCCAGTACCAAGGATTGAACTTGGGACCTTGTGCTTGTGAGGCAGGTGCAGCACCACTGAGCTAAATCCCAGCCCTGGACATGAACTCTTGGCAGCCTTCTTGCCTCAGCCTCCCTGGTGCTGGGATTACTGGCATGTGTCACTAAACCCAGTTCCTTTTTTTGTTCTTTTGTTTTGTTTTGAAATGGGATCTTGTTGCCTAGCTTGACTTTATGATCTGCCTCGGCCACCTGAGTAGCTGGACTTATGGAAGTATAGCATCATACCTGGCTACCTCATTTTCTTCTTTATAAATAGGGACAGCTGGGCATGGTGGCACATGCCTGTAATCCCAGGACTTGGGTGGGTGAGGCAGGAAGTTCACCATGAGTTCAAGGCCAGCCTGGACTACATAGACCGTGTTTCAGAAAACAAAAATAAATAAAAATAGAGGCGTCTGCTACTTGGTTTACTGTGAAATTTTATTTTATTTTTCCTGTGTGTTGTTAGGTATCTAACTCAGGACTTTGAGAATTCTAGGCAAGTATTCTACCACTGAACTAAACCCCTAGCCCTGTTATAAGTTCTTTTTTTTATTTGGGATGCTAAAGATTAAACCCAGGGCATTCTCCAGCTGAGCTACCAGCCCTTTTTTGTTGTTGTTGTTATTTTGAGATAGGTTTTGCTGAATTGCTTAGATGAGACTAGAATTTGTGATCCTCAGGCTTTAGCCTTTCTCAGGACTGGGACTATAAGGGTGTGCCCTGTGCCTGGCTTTGTTTTGGAGTTTTGAGACAAGGGCTCACTGTAGTACAGGCTGGCTTTGAACTCACAGTTCTGCTTTAGCCTTCTTGGTAGGTAGCTGGGGTTGTAGGCTGGTACCATTATGGCCTGATTTGTTATGAAGATGAAGGGAGGAATTAGACATGCAAGTTTGTAAACTGTGGTAGGTACTCTTATGATTTACTTATTTCTGCTTCTATCCTGCAGCCTGTTAAATTTATATGGTGTTAAGTGTGGTCCCTTAGGCCAGTAATATCAGCAACATCTTTTAGAAATGCAGATCCTTTACTTGTTTTTTGTTACTTGTTTTTTGCATCAGGGTCTTGCTCTGTGTGGCATAGGCTGCCCTTGAACTCATAGCAATCCTGCATCAGCCTGTAAAGTGCTGGGTTTATAGACTGTGTCACCACACCTGGGTTTATTTTTCCCCTGTGGTATTTAGGATTGAATCTACGGGCTTCACACTATGCTATGTTCCCAGCCCTTTTTGAAAAATTTGGATCTGCTGTAAAACACTGCAGGTGATTTTGATACATGGTCAAATTTGAGAGCCGCTGTGACTTTCTTGTTTCCTTTGCCAGTATGGCCATGTAGTTCCTTGTTTCATCTCTGACTGTATTTTCTCTGAGTTTTATGAGGAGAGAACAGAAATAATTTGGTTCTGAAGGTGATTTCGTTTTGCTGAGACAGAATCTCACTGTGTAGTTCAGGATGGCCTTGAACTCACTGTGTATGCAGCACAGGCTGGCCTTGAATTTGTGGTAGTCCTCCTGCCTCAGCTTTCTGACCGCTGGGATTATTGATGTGTCCCACCACACCCAGCCAGTTGATTTAGTTTTTTCCTTATAAATTTAATCAATATGGATTTTTTAGTAAAAATGACCACCTTGTTATCTTTTTTTGTTACACCTACCTGTTGTTAGTCTTGTGTAACTTTTCAGTATATCTCATGTAAGTTTTTTTTGTATGCTGGTAATTGAACCCAGGACCTTGCACGTGTTGGGCATTTTTGTACCACTGAGCTATGTCCCCCAGCTGCCCCAAATTGTATTTCTAAAAACAGAAACATGATTGTGTAAATTGGGCTGTGTGGTATATTTCTAGTTTCAATACAGCTTGGACATATTCGAGGAAATAGAATTCTACAGTGAAAGGAGCCCTTATATCTAGTAAGAAGGAGACAATTAAAACAAGTAATTGTTAATTTGAAATAGGAAAAGGTCCAGAGGTGTAGGGGTGGTGGGAGGGGAAGGGGAAAGGAAAGAAGGGAAGGGAAAAATTATGAGAAAAGAAAAAAAATGGAAACGAAATCTATGTAAATAGGGAAGGGTGGAGGGGGTGAAGGGTGCACAGGTAATGGGGAGAAAAGTAAGAACTAAGATGCATCATGTAAAGGTACAAGCACCCAATGATGAATGTAACTATTGTATACCTAAAATGTACCAATAAAAGAATTGACCAAAAAAAAAAAAAAAAAGGACTAAAAGGTATAATGGAACTGTTGATGGACTTAGATCCCTCTCATTAGGAAGCTGAGATTGAGACTCGGATTGCTGAGCTGCGGAAAGAGGGTTTCTGGTCCCTGAAGAGGTTACCTAAGGTGCCAGAGCCCCCCCGCCCCAAAGGCCACTGGGACTACCTGTGTGAGGAGATGCAGTGGCTGTCTGCTGACTTCGCTCAGGAGCGCAGATGGAAACGGGGTGTGGCCCGTAAGGTATGTTCTCTGGGTCCGTCTTCATTTACTTCTCAGCGGCATCTCGTTGATGCATCTGTGGGGTTAGTTCATGGGATTGAACAGTATAGTCATTTTTGTGTGTTGTTTTTTTTTTTTGGTACCGGAGATCGAACTCGAGACCTTGCGCTTGCAAGGCAGGCACCGGAACCACTGAGCTAAATCCCCGGCCCAGTGTAGTCATTTTTGATGCTTGTCTTACAGCATTTTGAGCACAGTTCTAACATCCTAGAGTTATTGGCCTTGATTGTTTTCTTTGCCTTTGGTGGGTTAGAATATCTGGCTTTGAATGTTTTTACACTGAGTCTATTCCCATAGGTAGTGCGCATGGTGATCCGACATCATGAGGAGCAGCGGCAGAAAGAGGAACGGGCTCGGAGGGAAGAGCAGGCCAAGTTGCGTCGAATTGCTTCCACCATGGCCAAGGATGTCAGACAGTTCTGGAGCAATGTGGAGAAAGTAAGTATTTGGGGTTGGCAAAGAGAAAGGGCCTTGGATTAGGTTGGAGGGTGGTCTGGTAATAGGGATGATCAAGTCTTCCTGAGGGAGTGAACATTCTCAGGCAGCTCTAATGCCACATCTGCTGTGCATGGGACTTTTCTAGCATGGAGTGATATGAGAAGGTATAGTGCCAAAAATTGGGCCATGCATTTTTGGATTTACCCTTATAGCCCATTTCCCTTTTGCCAGGTATCTAATCTGCTTTTTCTTTTTTGTTTTTTTCTTTCTTTCATATTAATTTTTATTATATATACACAGACCAGTACCTTTAATGAAGGACATCTTCATAAAAGATGGCTGTTTAGGGCTGGGGATTTAGCTCAGTGGTTCTGGCACCTGCCGTGCAAGTGCAAGGTCCTTAGTTCGATCCCCATTATCCCCCGCCCCCCCAAAAAGGCTGTTTACAGGTATAAACAAGTAACACTATATTATACACCAGATGAAATACCATTCACTACATGCTGAATTAATTTCTTTTAAAACTTAAAAATACAATTTTTTTGTTTGTTTTTTGTTTCTTTTTGTTTTTGGTACCAGGGATTGCACTCGGGACCTTGCGCTTGCATGGCAGTTGCCGGAACCACTGAGCTAAATCCCTGGCTCCTAAAAGTATAATTTTATTTTAATTTAAATTTCATTTAATTTTATGTTTTTAGTGCTGGGGATCGAACTCAGGTCCTTGCACTTGCGCAGCAGGCGGTGAAACCATTGAGCTAAATCCCCGGCCCAAAATATAATTTTATAATCAGATACTTGATTCCTGTCAATTTTAAGTCACCATAATATTCAAGAAGGATCGATATACTTAAATTTAAATTTATAACTTATTTAAATGTTATTTCTGGGCTGGGAATTTAGCTCAGTGGTTCCACCGCCTGCCTCGCAAGCGCAAGGTCCCAAGTTTGATCCCCAGTTCCAGAAAAAAGAAATAACATTTATTTGTTTTTTTGGTACTGGGGATTGAACTCGGGTCCCTCAGCTTGCAAGGCAGGCGGTGGAACCACTGAGCTAAATCCCTGGCTAAATGCTATTTCAAACACTGCTTTCTATATGTTATAGTCTGCTTTTTCTAAAACACATTTGTTGCATTTATTTGCTGGAAGCTGACCTTGGTGGCACAGGCTGTAATCCAAGCACATGGGAGATTGAAGCAGGAGGCTTGCCACGAGTTTGAGGCCAGCCTGGGCTGTATAACAAGACTCTGAAAAATCAACCAGAACAAAAAACAAAAAAACCCGAAAAGCAAACAACCTACAACTCACTTATTTGCTGGAGTACCATTAAAGTTCCCATTGCCCCCATGTTAAGTTGTAAATATTTCTTAAGTACTGTTGTTCTTCAGTGTCCATGGAAGATTCATTCCAAGACGCCCTGTGGGCCTCAAAATCTGGTGATGCTAAGTCCTATATGTAAAATTGCATATTAACTGATAACCTACACACCAATACGTTATCTCTAGATTATTCGTACTATCTAATACAATGTGAGTGCTGTGTAAATAGTTGTATCATTATTATTATTTTTCTTTTTTGGTATCAGGGATCGAACTCAGGTCCTTGTGCTTGACAGGCAGGCTGTGGAACCACTGAGCTAAATCCCCAGCCCAGTAGTTGTATTGTTTAAGGAATAATGATGAAGAAAAAGACTTGTATTTGTTCAGTAGAAGTGTATTTTGTTCTATCGTTTTTGTCATGCTGGGGATCAAACTCAGGCCCTCCTGCATGCTAGGCAGGTACTCTGCCACTGAGCCACGTCCTTGGCTCCAGGTCCCATTGCTTTTTGTTTTTTTGAGATGAGGTTTTGCTCATTGTGGAAAGTGATCTGGAACTCCTGGACTCAGCCCCGTAGGTGGGATCATGGGTGTGGGCCACCACATCTGGCAGCAGTTTATTCATTTATTGTTCTGAGGATGAAGCCCAGGGCCTTGTGCATACTACGTTTTCATTTTACTGTTGTCCTGTATCTCTACCCTTTTTGAACATTTTCAGTCGCAGGTTGGTGGACATCCCTGGTGACTTACTTATATTCTTTCTGCTGTTGGGAATGCTTTTCTTCTCATTTGCACTTAGGAAACACCTTGTTTCTTTCCTTTTCTATTTCTTTTTATTTTTTGAGCCAGGGTCTCAACATGTAGTTCAGGCTGGCCTTGAACTCACTGTGTAGCCCAGGCTGGCTTTGAACTGATAGCCTCAGCTTCCCAAGCACTGGGATTATAGGTGTGTGCCACCATGCCTACCTCTTGTTTTATTTTATTTTTTTGAGATAGGGTCTTTTTTTTTTTGGTCTTGAGACAGAGTCCCTGCTAAATTACCCAGGCTGGGCTCGAACTTGCAATCTTCCTGCCTCAGCCTCCCGAGGGCTGAAATTACAGATGTGTGCCAATGCACCTGGCAAGGTAGGGTCTTTTTTTTTTTTTTGGTACCAGGGATCGAACTTGGGTCTTTGCGGTTCTGCAGCAGGCCAGTGAAACCACTGAGCTTAATCCCCGGCCTCAAGGTAGGCTCTTAATAAGTAGTTTAGGCTGGCCTCCGACTTACTGGTAGCCTGCCTAGGCTGGCCTGGAACTCAAGACAGTCCTTCTGCCACAGCCTCCCAAGTGCTGGGAGTACAGGTGTGTGCTACCATGCCTGGCTTTTTCTTCTTTTTATCTTCCTTATTTTGCTGTGCTAGGGATCAAATCCAGGACTTTGTGCATGCTAGGCAAGTGCTGTACCCCTGAGTGACACCCCAGGCTTCGCCTATTTATTTATTTATTTAGGTACACGGGGATCGAACTCGGGTCCTTGCGCTTGCGAGGCAGGCAGCAGAACCCATTGATCTAAATCCCTGGCCCAACCTATTTATTTTTTAAGATCTAGCTCCAAATGCATTTGCAAATCATTCAATGCTAATCTGGCTCTTCTCTCACTTTTTTTTCCTTTCTTCCTTCCTCAGAAGCACCCTGTTAATCACGAGTCTCTTAAAATCATTTAGTTCTTTTCTCCTGAATGGCCAGCCTCAGGGAGATGTCCCTTAACATTCACAATAGGGATGTGACTTGTATATCTCACTGCTAGGTGCCTCTGATTTGAATTCTATGGACGGATGCTAGATAGCTAACCACTGGTTGTTCAAGCTGCCTGATGGGACAGTCATGCATGTAGCACTGGCATTTCAAGCTGGTGGGAACATGTTAAACATTGAATAAAAGTATATAAATAAAGTTATCTTTGTGATTTATTCCTTTCATGATTATGGCAGGTGGTACAATTTAAGCAACAGTCTCGCCTTGAGGAAAAGCGCAAAAAAGCCTTGGACCTGCACTTGGACTTCATTGTGGGTCAGACTGAAAAGTACTCAGACCTTCTGTCTCAAAGCCTCAACCAGCCACTGGCCTCCAGCAAAGCTGGCTCTTCCCCTTGCCTTGGCTCTTCCTCAGCTGCCTCCAGTCCTCTACCCCCTGCCTCCAGGCTGGATGATGAAGGTGTGTGTTCTCTTGGGCTCTGTTACTCTTCCCTATGTACCCGTTCCAGAGCTGAAAAATCCACCCTGTGGCTTGCAGGGCCCGTGGACTTTGTGACCTTGTTCTCCTGCTATAGATGGGGACTTCCAACCCCAAGAGGAGGAGGAGGATGATGAGGAGACCATTGAGGTTGAAGAACAACAGGAAGGCAATGATGCAGAGACCCAGAGGCGTGAGATTGAGCTACTTCGACGTGAGGGAGAACTGCCACTGGAAGAGCTGATCCGTTCCCTCCCTCCTCAGCTGCTGGGAGGGCCTTCAAGCCCCTCTCAGACCACCTCCTCCCATGACAGTGACACCAGAGATGGGCCTGAGGAAAGTGTTGAAGAGGAACCTTCGAGTGTTTTGGAGGTATAGGCAAGAGAGGTGGAGAGAGGCCTCAGGGTGGGAGCAGAGCGGGAGGTTCAGGTCTGAGTCCTGGGCTCATAGGTTGGCTGTGGGTTTTGAGTCCTCCCTTGTTAAGGAGAGTTGGTGGGACTATCATTTGGGGACAGCTGGGGAAGAACTTGGGTTTGGGCAACTTGTAGCTTACATTTGGCAGAGTGTCTGATGTAGCAGAAAAGTACTATAATTTATGTTGTGTAGGGAGGAGGGTTACTGGGTATCCCAAGGAGTGCTGAGCTACATCTCCAGCCATTTTTGCTTTTAAATTTTGAGACAGGATTTAATTAAGTTTCCTGGTTGTCCTCAGACTTACCATCTTCCTGTCTCCTAAGTAGCTAGAATTACAACAGTGTACCACTGGACGAGATTACTTCCCTCTTTATATTATTTATTTATTCATTTATTTATTTTTGGTACTGGGGATCAGACTCAGAACCTTGTGCTTGTGAGGCAGGTACGGTGCCACTGAGCTAAATCCTCAGTACTTTCCTCTTTTTTTTTTGGTACCGGGGATTGAACTCCCGGTCCTTGCACTTGGGCAGCAGGTGGCAAAACCACTGAGCTAAATCCCCAGCCCAGTACTTCCCTCTTTAAATGGCTGTGTGATCTTCTTTTGACCCTTACTTGCCACTTTGGCAAAATGACCCTAATATTCTTTTATTGGTTTGTAAATTAGGAGCTGGAATGGTCACCTTGATGTCTCTTCAGGACTTCTGTGTTCTCTTTGTTCACATATCTGGGTGTTGGAGACCTTTATTTCTTTTTTCTTTTTGGTACCAGGGATCGAACTCAGGACCTTGTGATTGTGAGTCAGATGCGGTGCCATTGAGCTAAATCCCCAGCCCTGGAGGCCTTTATTTCTTACTTAGCACTTTCACAGGTCCTCCCCTAGACAGTGGGGCCAGGATTTGGTAGCTGGTGCTGAAAGAAAACCTTGATGGCATACTTGCCCTGGTGTTACACCAGTGGCAGCTGTCACTCAGTGGGACAGACACCATTTTGTGATTGTCAACATTATGCCTTCCTGCTTCTCTAACCTTAGATGCTTCCAGGTGTGGTGATGCACGCCTGTAATCCCAGCACTTGGGAGGGTGAGGCAGGAAGATTGCTGCAAGTTTGAGGCCAGCCTGGGCTACATAGTGAGTTTAAGGCCAGGCTGAAATATATAGTGAGACCCTGTCTCAAAAAGCAAAAAAACAAAAACACGTTAGGTGCTCCCACTTGTTATCCTTTGGCATACAGGTGAAGCCCCCACCTTTGTCTGTCACACAGTGCAGCAAACGGCCTTGGCATCCAGATGAAGATGACGAAGAGTTTACTGCCAATGAGGATGAAGGTCAGGCCTGTTCACTTTATCTGGTTGTCACATACCCCTAGAATTAATTGTTTGGCCCTAACCTTTCAGGCTTTTTCACCTTTTTCTTTTAGAATGTGTTCTGTGTCTTTGTCCTCATTGATTGGGCTGCTTCTTTTTCCTAGCTGAGGATGAAGAAGACACCATAGCAGCTGAGGAACAGTTGGAAGGGGAGGTGGATCACGCCATGGAGCTGAGTGAATTGGCTCGAGAAGGTGACACTCATCAGATACTTTACTGAGCATCCATTTGGCACCTCCCCTGTGCAGAGTGCCAGGGATAGAGAGCTGATGTCATCTCTGATGGAAGGAGTGTCTAATGACAAAGATAGGCATAAGACTTGGGAATAATAAGTTCTTTAAGAACTTATAAGTAGAAAATGATGAGTGTTTCTCATGGAAGTTTGGACAAAGTGATATGGAAGCTCAGTAGAGATAATTGTAAGAGAATATTGGTACTGGGCAGGATGTTGCACATTGTAATCTCAGGAACTCGAGCCTGAGGCAGGAGGATTACAAATTCAAGGCCAGTTCAGGCAGTTTAGCAAGATCCTGTCTCAAAATGAAGTGGTAGTGCACCCTTGGATTTAAGGCTCGTAATTGCCCTCTCTTGAAAGGATATCAACAATATTTCACTTGAGTTTTGAAAAGGAGGTTCACCAGACTGGTAACGTCCTTTTCAGAAGAAAGCACCACTTTCCCTGGTTGTAGCCCAGGTTGTAGGGCTGGCATCGGTAGCTAGTGCTCAGAGTAAACTGGTCTCCCCTTACACCTCGGCATAGTCGTGTCTTCAAAGGCCTAGATAAAAGGAACTGGCATCATGCAGCCCCTCCCCACCTTCTCCCCTCCTTCATTTCCCTACCAGGTGAGTTGTCTATGGAGGAGCTACTTCAGCAGTATGCAGGGGCCTATGCCTCTGATGCTTCTGCTCCAGGATCTGGGAGTAGTGAAGAAGATGAAGAAGAGGTTGAAGCTAATAGCTTTGAATGTGAGCCAGAGGGGGCCACAGCAGCTGAAGAGGCTCCCCATGAGGACAGTAGCAGCCAGTCAGGTGAATGTGTGTTCTAGGTGGGAACTGGGGAGGGCAGGTGTGGGTGGAGCAGGTGTGGTGAGCACTAAGCCTTGGTCTTACGATTTAGACTCTTCAGAAGAACAGAGCGAGGATGAGGAAGATGAACATTCAGAAGAGGAAGAAACAAGTGGGAGTTCAGAATCGGAAGAATCTGAGTCTGATGAATCTGAGGATGCCCAATCACAGAGCCAGGCAGATGAGGAAGAGGAAGAAGATGATTTTGGGGTGGAGTACTTGCTTGCCCGGGATGAAGAACAGAGTGAGGCAGATGGAGGGAGTGGTCCTCCCACCCCAGGGCCCACCACCACTCTAGGTCCAAAGAAAGAAATTACTGACATTGCTGCAGCAGCTGAAAGTCTCCAGCCCAAGGGGTACACCTTGGCCACTACCCAGGTATCCTCAGGCCCCAGCTCCTGCTTATGTCTTACCTTTACAGTGTCTGGTGTCCGATGTCTCAGTTCCACCATGGTAATTATTTTTTTCTGTTCCCGTCAGGTGAAGACACCCATCCCCCTCCTCCTGCGGGGTCAGCTCCGGGAATACCAACATATTGGGCTCGACTGGCTGGTTACTATGTATGAGAAGAAGCTCAATGGCATTCTTGCAGATGAGATGGGGCTAGGGAAGACTATCCAGACCATCTCCTTGCTTGCTCATTTGGCCTGTGAGAAAGGTAAGTAGGCAGGACCCGTCTTGGCCAGCTCCCTGGGGAGCTGTTTTAGTGGTGACTCCACCTGTATTAAGGTGAAATACTTGTTCTCTTGTCGGTAATTGCTCCTGGAGGGTAGTGTAGGTGCTAGTATTCTTAGGGTCATTAACAGGAGAGGGTGGTCAGGAAACCACTATTCACATACCTTTACTATATGTCTCATTCCTTTGTTAAACAGGTAACTGGGGTCCCCATTTAATCATTGTTCCTACCAGCGTGATGTTGAACTGGGAGATGGAGTTGAAACGATGGTGCCCCAGCTTTAAAATCCTTACTTACTATGGAGCCCAGAAAGAGAGGAAGCTCAAGCGGCAGGTTCGATTCTCCATATGGTCACATTAACCCATTGATGTCACTCGAATTCTGTTTTTAGTCTCTTTTCTCAGATTAGTTCATTTTCCTTATCTGCTTATTGCTGCTTTCTTCTGCTGGAAAGTTTCCATTTCTTCTGCTATATCTTACCTTGAGGATCTTAATATTTAAGTCTTCCCTTTGGCCTATTTTTTCCCCCTACTCTTAGTGCTTTTTCTTTTTTTTCTTCTGGTACTAGGGATTGAACCCAGAGCCTCTGCACTGAGCTATCAAGCGTTTTTTTTTTTTTTAATACCAGGGATTGAACTCAGGGCCTTGCACTTGTGAGGCAGGTGGCAGCACCGCTGAGCTAAATCCCCAGCCCCTATTTTGTTTTGTTTTGGTTTTTCAGTACCGGGAATCGAACTCAGGACCTTGCGCTTGCGAGGCAGATGGTGGAACCGCTGAGCTAAATCCCCGCCCTGCCCCCCTGCCCCCCCCCCCATTTTGTTTTTGAGACAAGGTCATACTATAGTTCAGGCTGGTCTTTTTTTTTTTCTTTAACATTTTATTCTTTTATTGGTACATTTTAGGTATACAGTACATTTACATTTATCATTGGGTACTTGTACCTGTACCTGATGTATCTTGGTTAGTTTTTTTTCCGTTACCTGTGCGCCCTTCACCCCCTCCACCCTTCCCTATTTACATAGATTTTGTTTCCATTTTTTCCTTGTCTCATAATTTTTCCTTTCCCTTCTTTTTTTTTCCCCTTCCCCTCCCACCACCCCTACACTTTTGGACCTTTTCCTATTTCAGATTATCAGTTATTCATTTTAATCATTTTAATCCTTATTTACACTTTCAGTTTCTCACACTAGAGAAACTATTTGGTATTTACACATGTGTGTCCTATTTATCTCACTAAAAAGTATGGCCTCAATGTGCATCCACTCAGCTATAAATGTCTCTAGTTTCTCATTCTTTATGGCTGAGTAATACTCCATTTTATAAAAAAACCCCACATCTTCTTTATCCAGTTTCCAGTTGATGGACACTTGGGCTGTTTCCAAGCTTTAGCTGTTACAAACTGTGCCACTATAAACATGGGTGCCACATATATCACTGTGGTATGATTCTTTTAATTCTTTGGGGAAGATACCCAGCAGGGGGATAGCTGGGTCGAATGGGACCTCTAGCCCTGGTTCTTTGAGGAATCTCCATACTGATTTCCACAGTGGTTGCACCAGTCTGCACTCCCACCAACAGTGGAGAAGGGTTCCTTTCTCCCCACACCCCTGCCAGCATTTGTTATTGGTTGATTCCTTGATAGCAGTCAGGCTGGACTTGAACTCACTATTTAGCTCAGGCTAGCATTGAACTCTTGGCAGTTCCCCTGTCCCAGCCTCCCAAGTGCTGGGATTACAGGTGTGTGCCACTATGCCTGGCTATTTATTTATTTGTTTTTAAGACAAGGTCTAGGTAAGTTGCCCATGTTGGGGTTAAACTTGAGATCCTCCTGCCGTAGCCTCCCCAAAATATTTAGATTTCAGGTGGTCACCATGTCTGCTTTACCTTACCTTCTGCTTTCTTTCCTTAATCCCTCAGGGCTGGACCAAGCCCAATGCCTTCCATGTGTGTATCACATCTTACAAGCTGGTGCTGCAGGACCACCAGGCCTTCCGTCGCAAGAACTGGCGCTATCTAATTCTGGATGAGGCTCAGAACATCAAGAACTTTAAGTCTCAGCGCTGGCAGTCACTGCTGAACTTCAACAGGTAGAGATGGAGGTGGGGAATCACTGGAGGGCTGGCGTGGGATGAGAAGTGTCAGGGCTGTTGGGAAGCCTGGGCCCTTGCTAACCGTCCTCCTCCTGACTCCTTGTCTTTGCAGCCAGAGGCGCCTGCTCCTCACAGGAACACCCTTGCAGAATAGCCTCATGGAGCTGTGGTCCTTGATGCACTTTTTGATGCCCCATGTCTTCCAGTCTCATCGAGAGTTCAAAGAATGGTTCTCTAACCCCCTAACTGGCATGATTGAGGGCAGCCAAGAGTATAATGAAGGTCTAGTCAAACGGCTCCACAAGGTAGGGCAGCACGTCTTTCACCATTCTAGTTTTTACTTTTTTGTCTTCTCAATCTGTGTGTATATCACAGGCATCCTCATTCCCAGGGATTTTGGCTGTTTCCTGTGTGATAATGACACCTCGGTTTGAATTTGTAATCCCTCGAGTTTCTAGATCACTTGGCTGAATTCTAATTTCTGACTTGATGCCTTTAATTGAAAGTTGCTGTTTTTTATTTTTTTGATACTGGGGATCGAACTCGGGTCCTTGCACTTGCGCAGCAGGTGGCGAAACCACTGAGCTAAATCCCTGACCTGCTGTTTTTTTCTTTCTGGAGATTGAACCCAGGGTCTTGCACATTCTAGGGAAGTGCTCTTAACACTGGGGTACCTTCCTATCCCTGAAAGTTCCTCTCTCTTTTTTTTTTTTTTTTTTGGGTATCAGGGATCGAACTCGGGACCTTGTGCTTGTGGGGCAGACAGCGGCACCACTGAGCCAAATCCCCGGCCCTAAAGTTCCTCTTGAATTCACTGTCTTCTCAGCCAAATATCTCTGGCCATATAACCTGTTATTTGTCAGCGAAAAATCTCTGGTTTTATAATCTTTTCTAGCTGCACCATTGTTTGGTAAAACCAAGGTAGGAACCAGGAAGTCTTCTTTAACAACTGTATTTCCTTCATTTACCTCGCTTCACTTCCTCCATGGCCACTATGGATATTGAAGTCGATGTCTTACAGGATTTTGTATATTATCCTGTCAAAGCCACAGTTTTTTTGTTTTGGTGCTGGGGATCAAACTCAGGACTTTGCACATGCCAGGCAGGCACTGTAGTGCTGAGATATGTCCCCAGCTGAAATTACTGTTACTGCTGGGAATTGAACGCAGGACCTTATGTATGCTGAGGACCCACTCTACAACTGAGTCATACCACAACACCCGAGATCATAATTTCTGTTCAGAGGGCTGGGGTTTTAGCTCAGTGGTTCCACTGCCTGCCTCACAAGCACAAGGACCCAGGTTCAATCCCCGGTACCAAAAAAAAAAAAATTTCTGTTCATAGCTTTTTTCCTGGATTTATTTTTGTAATCTGGTAAACTTAGTGTCACTCCTTGAAATGTAGTTGGAAGCATCTTTCCTGCATTGTTATTTGGTTTACTCATTGCTTCCTCCTGTCAGTTTGTATGTGACCTGCAGTTCCTTCTGTGTCTGTTGTCTTCAGCAGACACGAGTCCCTTGAGAGGAGGGCTTGCATCTGACTCAGCTTTGTGTGGTGGTGTCTGGCGTGCCACATGACTCCATTGAGAAGGGGTAGGGTGGGACTTAGAGCCCACTGTTCTCCAGACAACCTCCTGCTTCTTTACTTAGGTTTTGCGGCCTTTTTTGCTGCGTCGAGTTAAGGTGGATGTTGAGAAGCAGATGCCCAAAAAGTATGAGCATGTTATCCGCTGTCGGCTCTCCAAGCGCCAGCGCTGTCTCTATGATGACTTCATGGCACAGACCACGTAAGGGAGGGTGAGGGTAGTGAGCCTTAGACTGGCGTATGGGTGGTTGTCAGAATGTTTGATTTATCTTTCATCTCTCTCCAGAACTAAGGAGACACTAGCCACAGGCCATTTCATGAGTGTCATCAACATTTTGATGCAGCTGCGAAAAGTCTGCAATCATCCAAATCTATTTGACCCTCGACCTGTTACTTCCCCCTTCATCACCCCAGGCATCTGCTTCAGCACCGCCTCTTTGGTGCTTAGTGCCACTGATGTCCACCCACTCCAGGTAAGTGGTTGCCCCCCACGGGACCTAATACCTCTTGAGTCTGACCTTTTTCATCCTTACTACTTCCTTCATTTCATCCCTTCTGTACTGTTCCACTAGTTTTATTGTTTTCTAGCCATGTGATTTGGCAAGTTTATTAATCTCTAACCCAAAGAGTTAACCAAGAGTATAAAGGCTGTTCTTTAAGCCAGCCATGGTGGCGTACCCCTGGAATCTCAGGCACTTCGGAGGCTGAGGCAGGAGGATTGGCATGAGTTTGAGGCCACTCTGGGCTACCTAGTGACTTCAAGGCCAGCCTGAACTGCAATACAAGACCCTGTCTCAAAACATTTATAGATACTCTGTAAATATTATTTTGCTTTTCCTCCCTATTTTAGAGTACTTTCCCCAATTTCATTTTATTGTGATAAAATAAATTTAACAATTTGCTGTTTGAACAATTTTTAAAATATATTTTTCAGTGTCATGAAGTACATTTGCATTGTTGTGCAATCATTAACAATCATCTGTCTCCAGAACTACTGTACTTTCATTTTTCCAAATTGAAATTCCATTACCTATTCACAGCTGCCCATTCTTTCTCCCAGCCTCTGGTAAATACCATTGTATTGTTTTTATGAATTTTACCTAGTCTGGTTACTTGCTATAAATGGAATCAAAGTCCCTTTGTGAATAGTTTATTTCACCTCGTAGAATATCTTCAAGGTTCATTCATATTGTATCATGTGTGAAATCTTCTTTCCTTTTTAAGACTGAATAATATCTCACTCTGCCGATATATACTATACTTTGCTTATCCACTTACGTATTGTTGGGTACTTGGTTTGTTTCCACCTTTTGTTTTTTTGTTTTGTTTTTAATCTTTTGAGACAGGCTCTCATTATGTAGTTCAGGTTGGCCTCAAACTCAGTGATCCTCCTGTCTCAGCTTCCCAAGTGCTGGGATTTACAGATTTTCATCACTTCACCCAAACTTTTTTTGTTGTTTTGTTTTTCATTTGTTTCCACCTTTTGGCTATTATGAATAGTGCTGCTATGAACATGGAGTCCAGATACCTGCTTGAGTCCCTGCTTTCTAGTCTTTTGGGTATATATGCCTAAAAGTGGAGTTGGTTTATCATATGAGAATTCTTTTTCTAACTAACTTTCTTTAGGGTACTGGGAATTGAACTCAGGACCCTGTGCTTGCCAGGCAGGCGTGGTGCCACTGAGCTGAATTCCCGGCCCTTTTTTCTGATTTTTGAGGAATTGCCATATTTTTTTTCAGGGGGTGGGTACCAGGGGTCGAACTTGGGACCTTGCGCTTGTGAGAGTACTTTTTGTTTTATAGCAAATGCACATTTTATATTCTCACCAGCAGTGCAGGGTTCTGATTTTTCCACATCCTTCCAGGGGATTTTTCTTTTTTTTTGTAAGAGGCACATTAATACGTGTATTTCATTATAGTTGTGATTTCTCTATTTTTAAAAAATTTATTATTTATTTATTTATTTTGGTTTTTTGAGATACGGTCTCACTATGTAGCCCAGGCTGGCCTCTAACTCATGGCATTCCTCCTGCCTCAGCCTCCCAAGTGCTGGGATCATAGGCATGCGCTGCCACCACACCTGGCTATAGTTGTGGTTTCTATTTCTCTAATGACTAAGTTTTGGCATCTTTTCATGTGCCCTTTGATCATTTATTATGTGTTCTTTGGAGAAATGCTTATTAAAAACCTTTAGTAATTTTTTTTGAACTGGGAAACTTGTTTTTGTGGTTGTTGAGTTGTACTTCTCTGTATACTTTATAAAGTAACCTGTTATTAGGTATATGATTTGCAAATATTTTGCCCTGGTGGCCTTTTCACCATATTGATGGCATGCATTGATGTTCAAACATTTTGCATCTTAGCTGGGTGTGGTGGCGCACACTACCCAGCACTTGGGAGGCTGAGACAGGAAGATTGGTGGAGAGTTTGAGGCCAGCCTGGACTACATAGTGAGACCTTGTCTAAAGACACAAAAACAAAGTTCTTAAATTTACCCATTTACCAATTTTTGTTCAATTTACCTTCTCTTGTTACCTGTACTTGTTGGTGTCATATCCAAGAAGTCATTGCCAGATTGTTCCCTTTGACTCCATGCTTTGTGTTCCTTCTTGTGGCAGCGGATCGACATGGGTCGATTTGACCTTATTGGCCTGGAAGGTCGCATCTCCCGATATGAGGCTGACACATTTCTGCCCCGGCACCGCCTCTCTCGCCGGGTACTGCTAGAGGTGGCTACTGCTCCTGACCCTCCACCCCGGCCTAAGCCAGTCAAGATGAAGGTCAACAGGTACCAGGACTAAGCAATAAGGGGTGGTTTCCTAGAAAAGGTGGCTACAGCTGGCTGAAGGAGACTGGGTGGAAAGAGTTGGTGGCTAGGCTAGAGCGATTATGTGGGATGGGTGCTAAACACTGGAGGAATTAAGGAAGAGAATAAGTAGAAGAGGTTCTGGGATGGGCTTCTGTGTTTGTTAACTGCTATTTTGTTTTCTCTTGCTTAGCTTAGTACTATCTGATTTTCTTGGATATTTTTCCCTATTTCTCTTTTTGTCCCTGTCTTTTTCCTCTTTTTGCTTTTAAAATGTCTATCTTGGGGCCAGGGATTTAGCCCAGTGGTTCTGGCACCTGCCTTGCAGGTGCAAGGTCACAAGTTCGATCCCTGGCACCAAAAAAAACAAAAAACAAAAAAACCAATAAAATCTCTTATCTTTTGCCTCACTTTCCTTCTTTCTTTCTTTCGCTATTCCTTATTCTTCTTCCCCTTTTATCCACTTCCTTGGTTTTTCCTCATAGGATGCTGCAGCCTGTCCCCAAGCAAGAAGGCCGCACAGTGATGGTTGTGAACAGTCCCCGGACGCCCCTTGGCCCTGTCCCAGTCCGACCCCCTCCAGGCCCTGAGCTCTCAGCCCAGCCCATCCCTGGCCCGACCCCCCCAGTGCTGCCAGCACCCCTGATGTTGTCAGCCCCGCCTGCCGGGCCCCCACTTGTTCCTGCATCCCGGCCCCCTGGACCTGTTCTCTTGCCTGCTTTGCAGCCGAACAGTGGTCCTCTCCCCCAGGGTGAGTTGAAAGGGAGCTAACAGTGATGGGAAGGTTGTTCCAACTAGGGAAAAAGTAATAACCCTAAGAAGTTTGAGGAGCTGGTTGGAGTGTGGTATCTGATATGCTGGAACAGGGAATATGGAGAGTTCTGGGACCAGACTAAGGCTTTTATCAGGATACATCTGACAGGTATTTTTGGTTTCTGTCTACAGTGTTGCCATCCTCCCTGGGAGTCCTGAGTGGGACCTCACGGCCTCCTACGCCAACCCTGTCTTTGAAGCCAGCCCCACCTGCCCCAGTTCGCTTGAGTCCAGCCCCACCTCCAGGCTCCTCTGGCCTGTTGAAGCCCCTGACAGTGCCACCAGGCTACAGCTTCTCCCCTTCTGCTTCCACCAGCACCTCTACCACCGCAGCAACTGCTCCTGCTGCAGCAGTGCCGGCTCCTACTCCTGCACCACAGCGCCTCATTCTGTCTCCTGATATGCAGGCCCGCCTGCCCTGTAAGTTCCTAGGGCCCTGTGGCGAGGGACTTGAGGTGGGAGGAAAGCTGATGAGCTAATGTGGAAAACAAACGGTACCTGAGAGCATGCAGTTCTAGGCAGGTAACATATAAAGTATTTTGCCATAATTGAGTGAAGAGCCCTCAAGGAATTCGCAGAATAGAAGAGAAGGTGACTCACAGGTGAGTAAATAGTAGTAAACCTGGCAATAGAAAAGCATTTGAGCTCAGTGATTCAGTAGTGCTTGTGTAGCATACATAAGACTCTTTTGAGTTCAACCCTCAGTACTGTGTAAAAAAGCGTAGTTGGGGTAAAAGGGAAGCACAGAGCAGGAGGTAGTGATTGGTTCAGTCTTGTAGCAGGCCATTAGAGAATGTAAGAGATTGCTAAGCAGTGAAGTGGGTTTGAAAGAACAACAAGCTGTAAGGCTGTAGGTGGAGGTTTCATGTATCGAGACATGGTAAACTGTGGGGAATGCCTGGAGGATCTGGAGACTTGGGGAGAGATGTGTGCTTTGTGGAAGTCTGAGATGTTGTGTGGAACAGGGTGACCCGTGTGTACAATAAGGCTTTCTCTGTAGCAGGTGAAGTGGTCAGCATCGGGCAGTTGGCCTCACTGGCACAACGTCCAGTGGCTAGTGCTGGGGGAAGCAAACCTCTCACCTTCCAAATCCAGGGCAACAAGCTGACTCTGACTGGTGCCCAGGTGCGCCAGCTTGCTGTGGGGCAGCCCCGCCCGCTGCAAAGTAGGTAAAACCCACCCCCTGCCCTGCCTTTTTCCTCCTCTTCCCTGTCCTCTTGTTTTTGTGGCTCTTTTTAGATGTCAGGCTTTGTTTCTTTCCTAGCTTTTGGTGGGTGGGGCCAAGGGGAAAAGTTGGAAGGGGTCTTTGGGGGGGGGTACTGGGGATTGAACTCAGGACCTTGTGCTTGCGAGGCAGGCGTGGTGCCACTGAGCTACATCCCTGGCCCCCTGGAAGGGGTCTTTTAATAAAAATAGGGAAAAGGTCATTTGTACAGATATTTCTTTCTTTCTTTCTATTCTTTCCCTGTCTTGCTCTTGCCTCTGCCTTCCTCCGGCTGATAGCTGCTTCTCTCTTTCTCTTCCCTTAACCCAGGGAATGTGGTGCACCTGGTGTCAGCAGGGGGGCAGCACCACCTCATCAGCCAGCCTGCCCATGTGGCCCTCATCCAGGCCGTGGCCCCGACCCCTGGCCCCACCCCTGTCTCTGTGCTGCCTTCTTCGACCCCCAGCACCACCCCTGCCCCCACTGGCCTCAGCCTTCCGCTTGCTGCTAACCAGGGTGAGGCTCCTGGCCTTCCTACTTACTTAGCCCTGCTGGCCTTGTTCTTTCAAGGCATGCCCTGGGCAGTTGTCTGTCGAACCTGTTCTCTGTGGTGGTTTTCCTTGTCAGTATCTCCAATATCTGTCTGCCACCCTCTCCTCTCCTGGACTTCCTCCATCCTTTGGGACTCTTTGTTTCTTTTCTACCTTCCCCTCAACATAGCTTCCTCTTACAGTGCCACCATCCATGGTAAATAATACTGGCGTGGTGAAGATTGTAGTGAGACAGGCCCCTCGGGATGGACTGACTCCTGTTCCACCTCTGGCACCAGCACCCCGTACTCCAAGCTCTGGGCTTCCAGCTGTGTTGACGCCACGCCCCACATTAACCCCTGGCCGGCTACCCACATCTACTCTAGGCACTGCCCGTGCCTCCGTGCCCACGCCCACTCTGGTGAGGCCCCTTCTCAAGCTGGTCCACGGTCCTTCGCCTGAAGTCAGTGGTGAGTCCAGATAGCCGAAGGCAGAAATATTTTCCGGAGCTGGAGATGGGATATCTGTAAAGGTTTCTCAGTGATAACCAGTCTTTTTCATCACCCTGCTGTCTTTATTAGCGCTGGGCCCCAGAAGTGGGCTGCCTTATTCCTGACCTAATTCCAGCATACATTGTTGGAATTTTGGAGAAGAAAATTTTAAGTTGTCCTGTTCTTTGAATTTTTGACCTTATCTTATGGGAATGAAGGGGTTTCTAGGAAATAGGTGAAGCTTGGGAGTGAGAGGATGGGTGGGAAGAAGTGGTAGAAGTGTCTGTGTCAGGAAAATAATGCTGAAGCTAACCCATCTTCTGTCTCCACAGCTTCAACTCCCGGACCTGCGCCCATGACCATCTCTTCTTCTCTCCATGTGCCATCCTCTCTCCCCGGACCACTGTCTTCTCCAATGCCAATTTCTAACTCCTCTCCCCTTACTAGCCCTGTGTCCTCTGTAGCCTCAGTCCCAGTGTCATCGTCACTCCCCATCTCTGTTCCTAGCACGCCTCCTGTTCCAGTCTCAGCTCCACTCGCCATCCCTGTCTCGTCCCCCTTGGCTGTCTCAGCATCGGGCCCACCTCTGTTGACCAGTGTGACTCCAGCCCTGGCACCTGTTGTCTCAGCGACCCCTGGACAACTCCCTTTGGCACCAGCTGGGGCTTCCCCATCAGCGTCAACATTGACTCTAGGGTTGGCCACAGCGCCACCCCTGTCCCCATCTCAAACCCCCGGTCACCCTCTGTTGTTGGCTCCCACCACTTCCCATGTTCCCGGGTTGAACTCAGCTGTGGCCTCAGCATGTTCACCTGTCCTGGTGCCAGCTTCAGCTCTGGCCAGTCCTTTTCCGGCAGCACCAAATCCAGCTCCAGCTCAGGCTTCCATTCTGGCTCCAGCACCTTCTGCATCCCAGGCTTTAGCCACCTCTTTGGCTCCTATGGTGGCTCCACAAACAGCAATCCTGAGTCCTGCACCTCCTCCTCTGGCTTCTCTTCCAGTCCTGGCGCCATCACCAGGTCCTGCTCCTGTTCTGGCTCCATCACAGACTCCAGTTCCAGTTATGGCTCCATCCCCGACTCCAGGAACCCCTTTAGCCTCTTCTTCATCAGTATCAGCTCCAGCTCCTGTGTTGGCTACATCATCAACTCAAACTATGGTGCCCAGCCCAATTCCATCACCTCTTTCAAGCCTGGCTTCTACACAGACACTGGCCGTAGCCCCAGCTTTAGCATCTACTCTTGGTGGCTCATCTCCATCTCATACACATTCTCTGGGAACAGGAAACCCTCAGGGGTCCTTTCCAACTCAGACATTGTCATTGACTCCATCATCATCTCTGGTAGCAACTCCAGGCCAGACACTGTCTTTGGCACCAGGAGCACAACTGGGTCCAACTCAGACGCTGTCTCTGGCTCCAGCTTCTCCTATGGGCCCTGCCCCACCTCACACACTGACTTTGGCTCCAGCATCAGCATCTGCTTCACTCCTGGCCCCAGCTTCAGTGCATACACTGACTTTGAGCCAAGCCCCAGTTCCTGTGCCCACCTTGGGTCCACCTGCAGTTCAGACCCTGGCACTGGCACCAGCCTCAACACAGGGCCTGGCTTCCCAGGGATCTTCCCTTGTGGTTTCAGCATCTGGCGCTGCTTCCTTGCCTGTTACCATGGTAAACCGGCTGGCTGTTCCTAAGGATGAGCCTGAGACACTGACGTTGCGCTCTGGTCCCCCCAGTCCTCCCTCCACTGCTACCTCGTTCAGTGGCCCCCGGCCTCGACGCCAGCCCCCACCACCACCTCGCTCCCCTTTCTATCTCGTAAGTTTTGTTTGCTCAAAGGAACAAGAGAAGGCATTGGGTTTCTAGAGTGTTGGTAGAGTGGATGGGACAAAATAACATCACTATTTTATGGATGGAGTACAGTGGTACCTCGATTCACAAATGTTTTGTGAACAATTTGGTACACAGATGCGATTGGCAAAGTATTTTTTTGTCTGTGAACCCTGCATTGGGTGACCAACACCATTGAGGCCATCTTTCCCACATGAACACAAACATGAGCATGGCCATCTTTCCCAGACAAGATCGGGCATGTTCCAGATGGCATGGCCATAGATCGTCATCTTTTCCAGAATCCTGGAACGAATTAAGTTTGTGAACTAAGGTACCACTGTATTTTTGTTTTGTTTTGTTTTTTTGAGACAAGGTCTCACTTTGTAGTTCAGGCTGGCCCTGAATTCGTGGTAATCCTCCTGCCTCAGCCTCCCAAGTGTGGTACCACTGTATTTGATTTTTTGTTTTTGTTTTTGTCTTTATTTTGTTTTCTTTTGTGGTACTGGGAATCAAACTCAGGGTCTTGGGCGTGCCAGGCAGGCACTTCGTGCGCCACTGAGCTCCATCCCTGACCCTTTGATTGAAATTTAAAGTTCCTTTTTCCTGGGTCTGTACTCGTCTTTAAAATGAGAGTATTACTCCATCTTCTACCTTTCCCAGAGAGGTAATTAAGATCCAGTGTAGTGTGATTTTTCTTGTTTGGTGCTGTGGATTGAATCTAGGGCCTCACACATGCTAAGTGTGTATTCTACCACTGAACTTTTACCTTTCTTTTTTCGTGGTGCTAGGGATTAATCCCAGAGCTTTGTGCATTCTAGGCAAATGCTCTACAACTGAACTCCCACCTCTATCCCTGCTGTTTTTGTTTTATGGTGACGGGGTCTCACTATGTTACCCAAGCTGGCCTTGAACTCCTGTGCAAGTGATCCTCCTCAGGGGCTGGGGATTTAGCTCAGTGGTTACGGCGCCTGCCTTGCAAGAGCAAGGTCCCAAGTTCGATCCCCGGTACCAAAAAAAAAAGTGATCCTCCTCCTCCATCCTCTCTAGTGGCTGAGACCATGGACTTGCTGTACTTTGCCTGTCTCCTCAAATGTGCTTTTCTTTAATTTTTTTTTCTTTTTTTTTTTTTTTGGTACCAAGGATCGAACTCGGGTCCTTGCGCTTGTGCAGCAGGCGGCAAAACCACTGAGCTAAATCCCCAGTCCTTTAATTTTTTTTGAGACAGGGTCTTGCTGTGTAGTTCAGGCTGGCCTTGAACACATTTGTGGCCCAGGCTAGCCTCAAACTTGGGGCAATCCTAGGGCTGGGGATTTAGCTCAGTGGCACTGCACCTGATTTGCAAGCGCAAGGTCCTAAGTTTAATCCCCAGTCCCCCTACCCCCCAAAAGAAAAGAAAAAAATAAAACTTGTGATAATCCTTCTGCCTCAGCTTCCTAAGTGCTGGAATGATAGGCATGTGCCACTGGGCCTGGCTTAAAAAGTATTAATTACATTCAATCCCTGGTACCAAAAAAAAAAGTATTAATCACTGGCATTAGTATTGGCATATAAGTACCCCATTTTATAGATGAGTTAATTAGCTTCCTGGGGATTGAACCCAGGACCTTTGCATTAAGCTACATCTCTTTTTAAGCCCTTTTTCAATTTTTAAAAATTGTGTGTCACGGTTTTGCTAAGTCACTTAAGTTTCCCAGGCTGGGCTCAAACCTGTAATCCTCCTGCCTCAGAGTGCTCGGATTACAGGTATAGGCCACTTTGTCAGGCTGTGAAAGTCACACAGTTCTTGAGAATACAGATATGCTGACGCCATCGTTTTCTCCTTTTCTCTACAAGAGGCAGGCTTCAGATAAGCAGTGTCTCTGACTTTGATAGTCACTTCTTTTTCTTTTTTTATTTTGTTACCGGGGATCAAATCCAAGACCTTGTGCTTGCGAGGCAGGTGCGGTGGCACTGAGCTAAATCCCCAGCCCCTAGATTTTTTGTTTTTAATTTCCATTGGTCATGAATGGGCAATAAAAGAAACTTTTCTACCAGGTGTGCTAGTGCACACCTGTAACCCTAGCACTTGGGATGCTGAGGCAGGAGGATCTTGTGTTTGAGGCCAGCCTGGGCTTCATGGCACATTCAAGGTCAGCTTTCACTATATACGAAGACCCTATCCAAAAACTATATCCAAAAACCAAACAACAACCACACACAAAAAAGGAGAAAACTCTTTTGTCCCTTAATGAGCTTTCTGATACCCATATTAACCCCTTTGCTGTGTATATAGTTCTGTGTATGAACCTTAACAGCTCAGTGTGAGGTAAAATAACTTAGAAGCTAATGCGAAAGGTGCAGTGAGCCTCTCTAAGGGCTTTCTTTTGCCCACTCTGCTTTAGAGCTGTTGCTTGTTCTTTGCTGAACTTCTACTTCTCTGTTCCACCTTCGGTCTTCTGGGTGGCTCTGGCCAGTTGGAGTAGAGCTAGGTGTGGTGCGTGTGGGTGAGGACCATGCTGAGTTTAAGGCCGCCCTGGACTGCATAGTGAGACCTTGTCTCATTTAAAAGAAGAAAGTAGAGTTGAATAGAGTTGAGATCCCACCCAGGCAGCGGCCAAAGGTCTGTGCTGAATTTTGATTACAAGTAGTAGCTTTTTGCCACTGAATTTTCCTTTAAGTGGTTTGAGACATACATCACGTATCCCACATCTTGCTGCTGTATAGTATATTCTTATGTTAGGGGCTGGGATGCACTTCAGTGGTAAGAGTGCTTGCCTAGTGTGCACAAGGCCCTGAGTTTGAGCACCAGCACTGCCAAAAACAGTACAATTTAGTCATTTTTTACGTTTATTTCTGCTCTCTCTCCCCTTTTCTCCCCTCCCTGCTGTTCTTTTTTTTTGGTACCGGGGATTGAACTCCCGTCCTTGCGCTTGCGAGGCAGGCAGCAGAACCATTGTGCTAAATTGCCAGCTAAAATTCCAACATTGTGTCTTTTTTTTTTGGTACCAGGGATCAAACTCGGGTCCTTGAGCTTGCACAGCAGATGGCAAAACCACTGAGCTAAATCCCCAGCCCCATTTGTCCTTTTACTTACAGCCATTCTAGTGAGTTTGAAATAGAATCTCATTTCCTTTTTTTTTTTACTTAAAAGGAAGAAGGGTTTATTTGACTCTGAAAGACATTGTGGTTTGTTTACTTTTTAAGACAAAGTCTTGAACCTATGGCTTTGCACATGCTAGACAGATGCTCTACCACTGAGCTATATCTCCATTTTTTGCCCCTTGTGCTGGGGCTTGAATACATGGCTTTATGCATACAAGGCAAGTGGCCTCCTATGGAGTGATACACCTAGCCCTTACTATCATTATTATACATTTATCATTTATTATTCATTTACTTATTTCTTTGTGGTACTGGAACTCAAAACCAAGGATGCTCTACTACAGAGCCATATCTCTTTTTTTTGGTATGGGGGATCGAACTCGGGACTTTGCACTTTTGAGGCAGGCGCCGGAACCACTGAGCTAAATTCCTGGCCCAATATCCTTATCTTTTTAAATTTTTTCAGGGTCTCACTAACTAGACCAGGCTGGACTTAAACTTGGGATTCTCCCCCCTCAGTCTTCTGAGTTGCTGGGATTACAGGCATATGACACTATGTCTGGTTTTGATGTGCATTTCCCTGTTAACTAATGTTGAGCATCTTTTCATGTAGGGTTTGACCATTTGTGTATCTTCAAAGTGTCTGTTCAGATACTCTACTCTTTTTAAATGGAGTATTTTAAACTATTGAGTTATAAGAATTCTTTGTATACTCTGGTTGCAAGTCCTTTTCCGATGTGTGATTTGCAAATCCTTTATTTTGCTGCTGCAGAGAGCTGGCTTCTGTTGATTTTTCACTCTGCTGGGACATGACAGACTCGTAGGGCCTGGGGTTTTTTTATTCCTATAGTAGATATATTTATTGAGAACCTACTTTGCCACGTCCTGAGCAGTTGCAGCAGTTAATGTTGTTCATGTTATATGGGGCTAGTAGAAGATGCTAAATAATTAATGCAGATGTAAAGCTTCAAGCATAGTAAATACCTTTTTGATTGATTGATTGATTGATTGATTGATGGTAGTACTGGGAATTGAACCCAGGACCGTTATGCTGAACTACATCCCCAGTTTTTGTTTTTGTTTGTTTTTTAAATTTTGAAGTACTAGTCTCACTAAATTGCCCAGTGAGGACTTGAATCAAATTAAATTACCTCAGCCTTCTGAGACAGATGTGTGCCATTGTGCTCAGGTAGTTTTGTTTTGTCAGTGCTGGGAATCAAACCCAGGTTCAGACACATGTTCGGCAAGCACTCTATAATTGATTAATACTCCAGGCTGAGAAAAGCTTCTAATAATTGGACCCACCATAATCAAGTTAGATTTCTGAAGTTGAATTGTTTTAATATATGTGCTGCTGAAGTGAGAACTGGAGTTGAGTCTTTTTTTTTTTTTGGAGACAGGATCTCACTATGTAATTCAGGCCGGCCTTGAACTCAGTATGTAGCACAGGCTGGCCTTGAACCCATGGCAATCCTCCTGCCTCAGCCTCTGAAGTGCTGGGATTACAGGATTTTAAATCTTGACTATTCAAGTATTCTGTTTTGGTAGCATATAAGGGCAAAATGTTGGTTTGTTTGTTTTTCTTGTAGAGCTCATTTAACATTGTGAATGGAATGATTCTTATTACAGCTTGCAAAAAGTACAAAAAATATTTTTTTGGATCTCACAGTTTCTTCTTTTTTTTTTTTTTTTTGAGATAGCGTCTCATGTTGCTTACTGTTACTGTGTAATCCAGGCTAGCCTCAACTTTGCATTCCTTTGCAAATTTGTCCTTGCCTCCAGAGTGTGATGATTTTTTTTTTTTCTTGGTACCAGGGATCGAACTCGGGTCCTTGTGCTTTTGCAGCAGGCAGCAAAACCACTGAGCTAAATCCCCGGCCCAGAGTGTCATGATTTTTACAGACTATGTTAATGTCCATCGAGGAAGACTTTTTTTTTTTTTCAGTACTGGGGTTCTAACTCAGGACCTTGCACTTGCAAGGCAGGCACAGTGCCATTGAGCTAAATCCTCAGCTCTTTTTTTGTTTTGTTTTATTTTGGTTTTGTTTGTTTGTTTGTTTTTTGGTACCGGGGATTGAACTCGGGACCTTGCGATTTTGAGGGAGG